AGACAACTACGGTTTAGTGCGTCAGTTGATGTACAGTGAAATTGCCTCTAACCGAGATGTTTATCGTCATGTGTAACAGGACGACTTGGATAGTGCTCTGCGGCGTATCCGGTGGGGAGGAGGACCTTGCGGTCTAAATCATTATTTCGATGCGCCACTAGATCTCTTTGCCGTTGCAAACATTTACAAGTGCGCAGTAATGCATTTTGGGCTGGGATTGCATAGTCGGGCTTATTATCCTTGTACAACGGTTCTCCCTTGGTCTTCGCGTGAGACTATCACTACACCGGTCAGAGAGCTAGCTATTGCATTTCTTGGGTCGTCATACAAACATTTCATCCGACTGGACCTGTCATCCGATTTTCCTGTCCCACCGATCATACCTCGGTGGTACGACATTTGCGCAGCAAGCGTAGAGGGTTGGGATGCGCTGTATCATGACCGGATCCATCAATGGAACACCCTAGCAGCTTTTTAGTTTTTCATTGGTACACTATTTCTATGTAACCTTATTTTTGCGTTGCTTATTATCCTCGTACTGTACTGTTGACTACATTTATATGTTACGTGCATACTCTCAAATGTTAAAAACTAAAACAATAATTTCAAATGTTAAAAACTAAAACGATAATTTCAAATGTTAAAAACTAAAACGATAATTTCAAATGTCAAAAACCAAAACGATAATTTCAAATGTTAAAAACTAAAACGATAATTTTAAATGTTAAAAACTAAAACGATTGTATTAAATTCTGCAAACTACAAAGATAATGTCCTATTTCACAAACTAATTTGATAATGTAAAAAATGTTCAACAAACAAAATTCCAATAACATCAGTAATCCCTCTTTGCCGCAGACTCCCAATGCGCAAGGGTCTGTTCCAACTCATCAACAGCAGCTCTCCCTGCTGCACTCATGCTGTCCTTCTCCAAGGAGAGTTTTTGTACGCCTTGTATTATCTTTCCCATCCACTACACACAAGAAAAATAAAACATGAAATTGAATAACTATATATAAAACTTTAAAAAAACGCAACAATAAATTTTTGTTTAGACATACCGCATCTACGGCAGTTGGCGGTGGCATATCATGATCATCGGCGTCGTCGCCATATTCGAGGTCTCTAATCAACCTTGGGTGCAAATACCGATTATACCATTCCATGTAGTGCTGGTCACACATGGGAGGCACCCCAGTAGGCGGCCTCTGCAGCTCCGCAGTCCATAAGCGGGCAACCATCGGGAACTGCTCCCACTTGGCAATCATGCTATCCGGCCATTGGACGACGTACTCCTTCGACGACGCAGATCGGACCGCCTTACTCGGCCATGCCGGTGGAGGAGGGACAACTTGGACGAACCCAAGCTGGCGAAGACAGCGCTGGGGCATGTACGCCTCCATGATCTCACGATACTGTATGAGTCCCGTGTAGAGGGTCCTAAGTACCCTATTACTAGGGTTCTGGCCGAAAGGCATCCAGTTCACCTGCACAAAATTTTTTAAATTAGTAAGATTCATATAATAAATGCATAACAGTACAAATTTAGAAAATAATTTGTACACTTTACCTCTGAGGGGGACATCCTGTCAAGCGATAACCGTATCGATCGGAGGCGGTCAACGGACTTCTTCTCCAATCGCGAACTCCACGCACAGGCACGGGGCATCCCATCACTAATAGGAACCGGGTCACGGTGTGGTCGAAATGCAGGAAAATACTCGTATATCTAGGTCTGCAATAAAGTCAGACATCCAGTGATACCTGTCGCGTCAGCCCGACTCGAAAATCCTAGTTGGAGATACAGATACGCCAACATAGCCGACCCCCAAGAAAACTGGCCTACACTGTCAGGCTCACACGCATCAACTATGTCGTGTGGCCTGAGCTTGTTTCCGCTCTTATCCGGAAACAAGGTACACCCGAGGAGAAGAAAAACATAAGCAGCCAACTGTGCGTCGTGCGTCCTACGTGCACCGGGGTGCAAACAACGCTGCAAGACGGATGCAATCTTCACACCGCCGTGGTCCCAAACACCAAGCGCCCCAGTGTATAGCGCAGTCCTGTCCACCGCCAACAGCTCCGCCAACAAATCTGCCTGATCTGCATCAGTCACAACAGAAAGACGTTTACCCTCTGCGCGAATCCCAAGAATGGCCTCGACGTCATGCAACATGATCGTCATCTCACCGAATGGAAGGTGGAAAGAGTTCGTATCCGGCTGCCATCGCTCAACGAAAGCCGTGATCAACGTCCAGTCAATCTTATCGTGCATGGTGGCAGGAAGGTGATTCACCCCAGTGTCCTCCAGTCGCTCGAACATCTCGCTCTCCACCGGCCAAGACTCAGCCCATCTGCTCAAAACGGTACAAGTCTTTTCCCAGGTTTAGCATTTCAAAATGCCCGTCACCAAACCCCTCTCCTGGTCCTCCCAGATACAAGTAGCTATGTGTCCTAGAAAGCTAGGAATCACACTCCCGTCTATAGGCCCCCCAGGCACCTCACCCTTAACCACCCAAAAATCATTAACGGCCCTCGACCATTTTCTGCTTGCCCTAGACACGGTGGACGCAGATAATGTGCCAGATCTACTAACAAACCTACCATCCCTACCCTTACGCACATCTACCCTATGCGTCTCATACATGTCATCTAGCCTCTGAATGGACCGTAATCATCATATGGTCCACTCCCGTCGTCCACATCCTCGTATGCGCCCTCCTCCTCCTCCTCCTCATCATCATCATCATCATCTTCATCCTCATCCCGATGGTGAACCCGTTCTCTACGAGCCGAGGCCGAAATACCACGGGATCTAAGATGTCTGGGCCCCGAGCTCTCCATCGAGTAGTTTCCACTTCTAATAAGGTCTAGATTCTTCCCGCACCATGGCGAAAATGCGACACCTTCAAAAAATTAATCAATGTACACACAAAAAAAAAAATTATAACAAAAATAACTACCAAAAACCAAATCAAATAAACTAAAAAAATACTAGCAAAGTAACCTGAAAAAGAAACTAACAGAACACTTAAAATAAATTAAAGAATAAAATATACACAAACAAAGAAAAAAAAAACCAACACATACAAAATATATATAAACATAAAAGAAAAATTTTAAAAAATAAACTAAACGAAAACATTATCAACTAAACAGAAAAACGTACTAACAGAAAACAAACATTATCAACTAAACAGAAAAACGTACTAACAGAAAACAAACATTATCAACTAAACAGAAAAACGTACTAACAGAAAACAAACATTATCAACTAACAAATACAAAAAAAAAATGTACAAAACAAACATACAAAGAAATGTAAAAGAAGTATAAACGTAAAAAAAATACAACAAAATTGAAAAAAATTTATACAAATAAACAACAAAATATACAAAAAAAAAAAAAAAAAAAAAAAAAAAAATCTGATTTTTTAAAAAAAAACACTTAAAAAAACATAAAACAAAAACAAAATTTTAATTTTAAAAAAAAAAAACTAAAAAAAACAAAAAACAAAAATCAAAATAAAAATAATGATTTTCATAAACATAAACAAAATAAAAATACTCTGATTTTAAAAAAAAAAAAAAAAAAAAAAACTTAAAAAAACAAAAAAAAAAAAAAAAAAAAAAAAAAAACTCTAATTTAAAAAAAATTACTTTAAAAAACAAAAAAAAATTCTGATAAAAAAAAAAAAAAAAAAAAAAAAAAAAAAAAAAACTGATTTTCAAAAAAAACAAAAAAATTAAAAAAAAAAAAACAAAAACAAACCGGTCGCATGAGGAGGACGCCACGCCGGTGATGGCGGTGCTAGATCCAGACGCCAGAGCCGTGGCGGCGTCGTCCTACCTAGACGCCTGAGCCGTGGTTTCGACGTCTGCACCTGGCGCCACCACCACCGGCGTGGCATCCTCCCCAGGCGCCCTGCCTTGCCACGACAGTTTTTTTTTTTTTTTTTGGAAAAAACCAACCTTTCCACCGTGAGACCTCCTTCCCTCCGCCATCGCCGCCGCTAATTCCTTACCTTGCCGCCTCGACATTGCCGTACTTTGAAATTTTTTTTTTTAAAAAAACATAGAATGAAATTGAGTGAGATTTTTTTTTTTGGTGATGAGAGAGTGTGTCTTTTTTTTTGGTGAAGGGCAATATTGTCAATTCAATGGAATTTTGTGAGATTTAGTTGGTAAATTGTAGGCGATGTTTAGCAATCCACAAAAATTTGAAAACCCTAGAAGAGAGAAAGAGAGGATGTGAGAAAAGGAGAGGAGAGAATTTTTTTATTTTTTATTTTTAGTCCTGCTTTTACAAATCAAATTAAATCACTTTGTTCTTGCAATAAATTTTAACCTACTATAGTTGTTTCATATACAAATAGGTTTACTATTTTACAATTCTACAGCTTTATAGCTCGTAAATCAGAGAAGAACTACTACCTTTGTTAATTTTTAGTTGCAGCAAAGAGATATTTAATACCTCAAAAAATACATCCATATATTGCAACTAAAATTAATGGAGGTAGTACAAAATTACAAATAATACACTCTAATTTTTGACAAGTCTACTAGAAGAACTATATTTTTATACTTCCTCCATTTTTTTACTTGACTTGTTTCTTTTATTACGCTAGTCAATACAAAACTTTGACTATCAATAACTTTAATTATTCATAAGTAAAAATTATAAAAGTTACGGATTATATATTATGATAGTACTTATTGTGACGAATTTTAAAAAATCCTACATGAATATGTTTTTCCTTACATATTATTTACAAAAGACGGTCAAAGAAGATGTGGTGAATAGTGGAAAAGTTATAGCAGGTCAAATAAAAAAGAACGAATGAAATAAGAAAGAAGAAAAACATTTTAAAAAATCGTATGTACCGTATATCTGATATACAGTTACCTTAAAATGAAAAAAAGTTACCCTGCAATGAATGAAAGTTACTCAGTACATATAAGTTATCCTAATATAAATAAAAGTTACTTTACTGACAAAAATTACCCAAAAAGTCTAAAAGTTATCCTAGAATCAATAAAAGTTATTTTAATATATATAGTAATAAAAAAAATTTAAGAAAGAATCCCCTTCTCCAGAAACGACATAAAAATCAAAATTGATGACCGTATTTTTCAAAACTGTAAACGGTGGACCTTCCCTTTGTTTCAACAACACCCAAACTTGTCAAATCCTTCATTCCTAGGAATCCCATAATTTCCCTTGTTTTCCATCATTTCCTTTTTTTTCTTATTCCCAAAAACAGAGTCTGGTTTCCTGTTTCCGCCGCCTACATCAAACCAAACCCACTTTAACCCCTTCTTTAATTAATCAAATTCCCCCATTTTAGCTCACTGATTACTCTCCAACTGCCTAATTATATTTTCTTCCACTCTTCCAAACACTAAAACATCATTCCTCAAAAACCTTCAATCATTCCCTTAAACTTGTTTTAATGGATAACGGAGCCTTACCAATCACACCCCTCCAACCTGGTGCAGGTACACTAGGCCGGCACCTCGGGCGCCGGCTAGTTCAAATAGGCGTGAGAGACGTCTTCTCAGTTCCCGGCGATTTCAACTTAACTTTATTAGATCATCTAGTCGATGAGCCAGAACTGAACTTGATCGGGTGCTGCAATGAGCTCAACGCAGGGTATGCTGCTGATGGGTATGCGCGAGCGAAAGGTGTTGGCGCGTGTGTTGTCACGTTCACTGTTGGCGGGCTTAGTGTGCTTAACGCCATTGCTGGAGCTAACAGTGAGAATTTACCTGTGATTTGTATTGTTGGTGGGCCCAATTCTAATGATTATGGGTCTAATAGGATTTTGCATCATACTATTGGGTTGCCTGATTTTACTCAGGAATTGCGTTGCTTTCAGACTGTCACTTGTTTTCAGGTATATATTCCCTTCATTTTGTTACCTTCTTCATTTACCATCCTGATTTTTAGTAATTATGAAAGCATTAAATAATAAGTATGCAGCCTTTCAAAAAAAAATAAAAATAATACGAGTAATAAGTATGCAGTATTTCTAAAATTGGTATGATCCAGAGAATTTAGGAGAAGTCCTAAGAAATGGCCGCTATATATTTTGAAACTGAAAGTATAGCAAAATTGTTGATATACTAAATGCATAAAATACCAGAAATTGGTTTCATCCATATTCTAAGTTCTCACTTTTACTAGAGGTGCAAGCAACAAAGTGTTCACTCACTTGGTAAGTTTCTTATTTCAGATCCTGAAAGTCTAGGTTCGAATTCTACCGAAAACGGTGAGGGTTGAAGTCTGGTCAAGGTCTTCTTTACCAATTAAAATTTTCTTTTTTACTAGAAGCGCAATTGTATTTTGTTAATCCCTTATTCTCTATCTCTGGATCTCATTTTAAAGCAAAAATACTCACATGTATGCTTCTCTTTTTTTTCACATTTTCTTGCTTTGCGTAGCTACATCAACTATGTCTCAAGAAAACGAAAGAGTTTATTTTTCTAATGATACTAATAAATATGTAAATAGTATAATAATTATTATATCATTGTGAGATATACAAGTACTAATAGGACATGTACTGAGTACTCTAACGGTCATTAAAGATATTTTTAGGATTATAATGACATTTATTGGGTATCACTGTGTTAATGGTATATTAGATATTATACCACAGTGACATATAATAGTACCTATAAATATACAAAGAGTATTTTGTTGTTGAGGTACTTTGGCAAATGTTTGGGTAAGTTTCATCTTTCATTCGCTTTTAGTTAACCAACTCAAAGTAACGCAGTATGCATCTTTTTATTAAATTATTGGAAATGGGAACAAAATGTTACCTGCATGCTGCAATTTTTTTGGTTGGGAGTGCTCTGTTGCTCATGTTTGATGTATAATGTGTTGATCATATAAACATAATAGGCGGTGGTGAACAACTTGGATGATGCACATGAGCTGATAGACACTGCAATTTCGACTGCTTTAAAGGAAAGTAAGCCAGTTTACATAAGCATAGGCTGTAATCTGCCTGGAATTCCTCATCCAACTTTTGCTAGGGATCCTGTTCCATACTTCCTTGCACCACAGTATGCATTTTCATAATGATTTTCTCCCCTGTATATTTTAGATAAAACTAGAATGCGTAAATTCTATGTTCTGTTTCTGGTTTATGACACTGACTTTGCAATGCAGCATGAGCAATCAGTTAGGCTTGGAAGCTGCAGTGGAAGCAACAGCCGAGTTTCTAAACAAGGCCGTGAAACCTGTTATAATTGGCGGACCCAAACTTAGAGTGGCAAAGGCGCAAAAGGCATTTGTAGAACTTGCAGATGCATGTGGTTACCCTATAGCAGTCATGCCATCAGGTAAAGGGCTGGTGCCTGAACACCTTCCCCACTTTATCGGCACATACTGGGGTGCTGTCAGTACTAACTATGTTGGTGAAGTGGTCGAATCAGCTGATGCTTATGTATTCGTGGGTCCTATTTTCAATGATTATAGTTCAGTTGGGTATTCCCTGTTGATCAAGAAAGAAAAAATGATCTTAGTGCAGCCTAACCGCGTGACTATTGCTAATGGTCCCTCATATGGATGGGTTTTCATGGATGACTTCTTAAGTGCATTGGCAAAGAAACTTAAGAGAAACACCACAGCCATGGAAAACTATCGACGGATATATACCCCTCCAGGCATGCCTCTAAAGTGTGGGAAGGATGAACCTCTCAGAGTCAATGTTCTCTTCAAGCATATACAGGCAAGCCATATTCTTCAATTTATTCACACAACATTCATTGCATTCTTGGTGTTTTTCAATTTATGCACACAACATTCTTGCCTTTAATGATTATAGCTCAGTTGGGTAATCCCTGCTATCAACATTCGTTGAAATCAAGGATCATTCAGCTATATTCAATTCTTTTGGCATGCTTTTCTATATCCTTGCTGGACCCATACATAATAAGTAATTTTATTAAATTGTTATTTGACATTGGTAAGGTTATGAAAACAGGCTATGATTGATGGAAATACTGCAGTGATTGCAGAAACTGGAGACTCATGGTTCAATTGTCAAAAGCTCCGGCTTCCAGAAGGCTGTGGGTAAGTTGAAACACCTGGAAAACATTAAGTCTTTATTGAAATTATTTCTGTAACTTTTATGTAATTCATGCTTGTACAAAAATGAGTTGGATCCCATTGTGACCTAAGTACCTACCATGGTGTACATGTCATTCATGATGTTTTGTTTCCAGCCAATGGGTTTGGGCTAGAATGTACCCAAGCATGCTTTTTGACGTTTTGTGGTTATGTGTGAATGTTGTGAAGTCTGAACATGTATTATTCACGCCTGAAACTGTGGATGTGCGCTCAATATATGCAGGTTTGAATTTCAGATGCAATATGGGTCAATCGGTTGGTCTGTTGGTGCTACATTGGGATATGCTCAAGCTGCCAAAGACAAGCGAGTTGTTGCTTTCATTGGTGACGGGAGTTTTCAGGTCAGCTGCTAATCAAAACTTACCCCTTTGGCAAATGTAACTTCTTTATGAATCTCATGCTCAGTTCAGCATATTGAAACTGCTATTCAGTCTGCCATCCTAACAATTTAAAGTACAGTTATTATGTTTGGTGAAATATGATAGAGTGTGGAAAACTGACAGCTTCTTTCTATCTTATTAGGTCACTGCTCAAGATGTTTCAACAATGATTCGGTGTGGACAAAAGACAATTATATTTCTCATCAACAATGGCGGATATACAATTGAAGTCGAGATCCATGATGGACCCTACAATGTGATTAAGAACTGGAACTATACAGGCTTTATTAAGGCTATCCATAACGGCCAAGGAAATTGTTGGACCGCAAAGGTAATTTACCACTAATAGAAACTTGTTTGAATTCTGCATCTCCTTCTAGTTATATTTTCTTCGACTTTTATGGTTGATGCATGTTTTCACTCGTGTTCATTAGCTCAACTGAGACCTTAATGAGTATGACCAATTCAGTTTTTTGGCCACTTAGAGAAATGTAGAATCATGTGTAGTTTTAAAAGCAATTGTCAATCAATTATCTTTTCTAAAATATCAATCATTTGGTGCATAATTTCTCAATTATCAAACGGCTAATAACAAAAATGTGGCTTAGCAAATGATTTAAGAAATTCTTCATCTCGTCAAGTGTTAATTTTGTTGTTGTGAACAATTATAAAATGAAGGTCCAAACAGAGGAACAACTGATTGATGCAATAGCAGCTGCCACGGGTGAATATAAGGACTCTCTTTGTTTTATCGAAATCCTTGTGCACAAAGACGATACCAGCAAAGAACTGTTGGAATGGGGATCTCGCGTTGCCTCTGCGAACAGTCGGCCTCCAAATCCTCAGTAGTGATTTTGTAGTCCTTTCATCAAGCTTATCAACTGTTGTAGCTATCTGTGGTGGCTTTGAATAAAGGCTGTACTAAACAATGACAGATTTTGTATGGTTTGTATATAAATAAATGTTTTCGTCCTGTGATATATGTATATTGTTGATTGACTGATAATCTACCAATCTGAGAGGATAAATAAATTGTTGGTCCTAGTTTAATGCTTTGTTCTTTTAAGCTTAAACAGAATAGCCCAACTTTGATTTAAAATGAGCTACCCTACTCCTACTTGACATGAAAATAAACAAGAAACATACTCAACTATGGCCCAACTCCAATAAACCCGCATCACATTAGTCATTACCCAATTCAAATAATTCAATTTAGACTTAAATTATAAACTCCATTTTGCCATCTAACAAATCGACCTAAGGTCCTAAGACACCTTATGTGAAAATGAACATGACAGAATTAAAATTGATAGAATTTTTTACCATTAAGTTACTTAATAGTCTTCTCGATTTGAAACATCGTAACTTGCATTGTAATTGTTTTATACATGAGATATCGGAAAATATATGTGTGATATATTTTCCGTAGATATCATTAACAGAATAATAAATTTAGGTTTATTTTATGTTAAGATATTATTTAGAGAATATATATTTAAAATTTATGGTTATGCTAGTATATCCTTAAAATGACATGATTTTGTACCTTGAAACGACAGGACAAGCATATTGGTTTCCTTGTACCTTGAGACGACAGGACATTATACCTTGAAACGAAAGGGCAAGCATTAAAAAAAAATATGAAGTCGACATCAACAGAGTAGTGCATCTCGATCAACTTCAACAAAGTGAAGAATTGAAGTCGATCGATTTCAACAAAGTGAAGAATTTCTAATCGCAACGTTCATGTTACTGCGGTTACGATTGCAGGAGGGTGTTAAAGATATGAGATATCGGAAAATATATGTGTGATATATTTTCTGTAGATATCATTAAGAGAATAATATAATTAGGTTTATTTTATGTTAACATATTCTTTAGAGAATATATTTTTAAGATTTATGGTTATGCTAGTATATCTTTTAGAAAGATTATTTCCTATCTTATAAGCTTAGGTTTTGTATATACTCAACCTATCGATGAATAATAAGGAAGTAATACGAACCCATACAATTATACTCTTTCACCCTAACTTGTATCACCGGATATAAGAAATTTACTTGATTATCTTTACATCAAAACATTTGTCACCCGATTATAACCCGAATTGACGTTAACCAATTAAAGTACGTATTAATCACACAATTATGATCCAAACCGAATTGACACAAACCAACCTTGATTCGAGCAATCCGTTGCCCACCCTCTATAATGCATGATATTCATTCACAATTCATATATCCGTCAATTTAAAACAGGTTAGTAAATCAAGCAATTCCCAACAACTTTCCATGTGGGAGGGCAATCACCCCATCTAAATTCCACATCCTCAAGAATCATATTCCATTTTCCAAACTAACACCTTTAAACAACTAATAAATGCAACACTACCTCTTTACATATACACCAACCAACTATACCCATCAAAAATTTAATTCTTTACCCATAAAAAAAATCAATTATTTCTTCATACTTTAAACTCCTCTAGGCTCTATATAAATCCTTTTAAACCCCATTATTCCTTATAACCCCAAAGTTCTAAACCTTCCAATTATTATTTTATTTTTTTTAGTCCCGAGAGAAAACTGTCCTAACCTCAGTACATTTTTACAAATTTCCAAAAATGTCAGCTCAGTTCATAGAAAAACACCGCGAAAACGCGGAAATATACACCGGTTCAGACCTATGCAAGCAAAAATCAATAGAGCTTTTACTCGAAATCAACATGCCTAATGGTCTACTACCCATGGATGATATTGAGGAAGTTGGGTATAATCGTACGACCGGGTTCGTGTGGCTAATCCAAAAGAAACCGATCCAACACCGGTTCGAAAAGATCGGTAAACAAGTATCATATGATACTCATGTTACGGCTTTTGTTGAGAATCGTCGGATGAAGAAACTTCATGGAGTTAAAGCTAAGGAGCTCTTAATTTGGATCACTCTTAATGAAATTTATATTGATGATCCTAATTCTGGTAAAATTACCTTTGGTACCCCTACTGGTATTTCCCGCTCTTACCCAATTTCTGCTTTTGAGGTGGAAGAAGAGAAGAAATGAAAGGATTTTTCAAGGGGTAATTTTGGGATTTCAACTTGCTTAATGTCAACTTACTCTTAATCATGGAGATTTAGCTATGTTTTTAATTTGATCTTGCCCTACTAAACCATTATCTATGCTTTTAATGATTAAGTACTAAGAATATGTTTACTTTTCTCTACTAGTATTAAGTTGTGTGTTATTATATAGTATACCAAAGCGGAAGCTACTAATGCAAGTTTTACGTTTTATAATATTTTTATGTGATTATATTATAATAAATGTATTCTCCGTATGATAATTGTTGTTATAAGGCATTTTGTACGAGTATAATTGTTGTTCATTATTAATCTTATGTTGTTGTAAGATATTTTATTAATTGACTAAAAACTCTACAGAAGTTAATAATAAGAATTAAAGGTCCAATAATAAGTGGCTAATGACATTAGGAATCAATTAAGTATATTTTCTGAAAGTCGAAATATATTGTTCAGTATTCATTATTCTTCACCCACTTGCGAAGTGTTGTGATCACAGCATAAGTACATTATACAATTATCTTTATTCCTTCCCCAATTAAGACCAAAATATACCTACACATACCAATTAGGACAATTTGGTAAGCACGGCATACATTTTTTTCTTCATCCTACAATTATCGTTAAAGTGTTAGAATTAAAAAGAGATCCAGCTTTAAAGTGTTAGATTCAAAAAGAGATTTGTAACTTTTTATTAGTATTTTTAATATGACATACACCTTTTACTAGCCAAGCAAGCTAGGTGGACGTGTAGCCGTGTAGGTCGAATTTCCTTAATTTGGAAGGAACAAGCTAACAATTTTCTCACAAAAGGAGAAGTTTGAAGATTAATTCCAAATAATGAATCTTGTGCCCACGTAAAATTGACCTAAAGAAAATATACAGATTATAACGTTTGTGACTAATAACAACCATCCTTGTAGTCATCATGCATTTCTTAAGGTATAAATAAATGACATATTTGTGCAATAAAAACAGCTTCAACTACCAACAAGACTCACTTATCTCATATTTATTTTGTACTCGTATAATTAATGATTTTCACAAACTCTTATATGTGGCTTGTCACACGGTGTAGCCAGCCATCATGGGGTTTACTTCATTAGTATGTGTTATAGGGGTTACTTACTTACTTTGTCAGTGTTATAGAGGTTACTTGGTCAATGTTATAGAGATTACTTTGTTTTCTTTTACAATCAGCCACACGGTGTGACCAGCCGCACACAAGACGGGCTAGATAATTTTTACACCTACATATTTTCTTAAAAAATTTCACATAGAAACTTGCATAAATATCCCATGTCCACCTTTATAATTCCAATATAATTTTTTAATTTTTCTAAATTTATTTATTGTCTTGTCTTTATTTTTTTTTTTAATTACTTCTTATTTTTGAATGAAAGTGTCTTGTCTTTATTTACTTCCCTTTATAACCATTGTTGTGGTTTCCTTATTATGGATATTATTGTATACGACTATGTCAAAAATATCATTAAATTGTTATCTTTTGTTGGTATAAAATTGAATAATTTGCAATCATTATTGATTTGCACTCCATCCATTTTTTTAAATGCAATAATTTAATTTCACGGAGTTTAGAAGACATTTTATTTAAATTTCTTTTTTTTTTTAAAAAAGAAAATTAATTCATTAATGGAAGAGTCATACAACATCTACAATATAAATCAAAACTAGCAAATACAATACAAACTGAATCGAATAATATTCTTATTTGACAAAACTACGACTGTTGTTATCTAGATCTGACATTTCTAAATGCCCTCTTTCACACCGCTGTTTGATACAGCTTTTCACGAGGGGGTCTTTCGATCTATTGTAGCTTTAATTTGGAATCGAACACCATTCGGTACAATTGATTGTAGATGTAGAATTAACCTCCATGGCAACACATCACAACTCCTCATCAACAAATCAATTTTTCGTACGAAATTAAAGAACATAGCCCCAAAACTCTCAAAAAGAGAGAAAAATTAACTCGATATACGGGTAGAAATAACCCGATATAAGGGTAGAAAAACTCTCAAATAGAGAGAGTACAATTATTGTGAGCATAAAGTAAAAAACTAGTAAGAAACTAAGAGATTAGGGGCTTACCATCAACCAAAAGGTTGGTGGTAGCCCCTAGAAACAAGAATTTTTTTTTTTAGGGTTTTTGAGGAGGAAGAGAATAAGAGGAGAGGCGGAGTGGAAGGGTTTATTTAACTTTCTTTATAACAAAATATATGTGAAGTGATACGTATTGTGAGGAGGGTGTGCCCGTCGTTGGGAATCCTTCTCCTCTATGTCCATGGCCCTTTAAAAGCCTAGGACTTTACACCGTTTTAAAGCGTGTTAGGATTGAATTCCTGACTGTTTGGGGGACCTTGAATTAGAGTTGATTCTATCATTATGCTTTTTTGTAAGTAACTAGTAAGGAGTCGCCAATGAGTTTTAGGAAAACTCATAAACCTCGTTCATGTCTTTCTCCCGATTAGAGTTCAAGGGATATTTTAGCATGAATCATAAGTTTACCCATGCCCAAATTGGACTACGTGTACCAGGAATGAGTTTGGGAGCGAGAGTACTTAAATAATGTTCCTTTTAGGGAGGAATCGCTATTCTAGCCCAAGTGCGGCCTCTACTAGCTCTTTCTTTTTCACAATTTCATTACCAAACAATATATGCAACGTGATACCTAAAACTAAGTTAGTTGATTTTAGTTACACACATTAATCACGTAGGAATTACATCGCAAAAGTCGTTATTCTTATTTATTCAAATTCGTGAAAGAACAAAAAGTAAACAAGATTCGCCTTAGCTTAAGTGATAAATCAATCAATTAATTATTCAAATTCTAGTCTTGATTAACGAAAGAATACTATGTGAATTGATTGATTAAACTTTGTTTAGAGTGATTAAACAACACTAATTAGTTGATTAAAAGTTGTTTAAACAAGAAAAGAAAAGGTGATTTATCTAAGTGCTCGGGATTTTACCACTTTTCCTTATTAGATCTTCGTTTAGAACACTTATGGACTCCTTCTTGTTCAGGAACCTCCACCGTAAGAACAAATGATTAAAATGGGTGAGTGTTTAGGACAAGGAGAATGATTAGTGCATAAGATCACAAGGTTTTTGCTGACTTTTGGTTAATTTCTGTCTATTCAAAGCTTCGTATTACACCTCAATTTATAGGGAATGGGTAAATTTAGGGTTTTTAACATTCTGCCGCAGCAGATGGCACGCGCATCTCAAAAGGTCGCACGCGGCTGCTACGCGCAAGTGGTTGAGTTGCGCTGCTGAGGGTTACACAACCTATTGTCTTGCGCGTGGCTTCATGGTAAGATTTGATTTAGTATTTTTATAATATTCTGAATCTTCTGCGAGCGCACCACTGGAGGTTGCGCTTGACGTCACGCGCAACCTTGTGGGTTGTGCGTGCCAGGCCAGCGCAACTCCTTAAGTTGCGCTCGGTTTTTCCTGCGGCAGCCTCGGATTTTAACCTAGGCACCTCTAAATTCGTCCAAATTAGGTTTAATCTTTTGATATTAGGCCTAATTACTGATCGGGCTTAGTTTTAGTTAGCTTTGGTTCATTTCGTATTGGGTCAAGCTAGTTGTTATATGTGTTTAAGCCTTAATCAACAATCCATAAGTATTTCTTCATGTTGATCCAACACAAAGATGGGTTTTATTTATCGTCATAGCACTTTCGATCGAGACAGGGGACCAAAAGTAGATGTCGACACATACCAGTTATTTTTTTCACCTAATTTGAACTTATTTGATCTTATCTTATCTTATCTAAACTTATCTCGACTTACTTGAGCTTTTTAGAATTTATCTAAACTTTTTTTTTAGAGAGCTACAAGGGCGAGTGATGAGAATCGATATTAGAATCACCTAGAAACGGGAGGGGAGCTCTGATTTATCTAAACTTATTAGACCTTATTAAAACTTATTTTTTGTTATAATTTGGAATTGAGTATCTCTTATTAGAACTTAGTTTACCTGAACTTATTAATCTAAAAAAAGTGAAAATAACGTAAACAAAACAGACCCTTAGTAGAGTGTGTTGGGGAATTATAAAAAGGAGAAATCGGATTAATAGTTTCTTTTATTTTTAAATTATTAAATAAGGGAAAATAGAGTTTTTAAAAGTAAGAAATAGAAAAATTTGTCAAAAATAAGTCACCTTTGTGCGGTTAGCTTAAAATAAGCCAACCTTTATATTAACTCAAAATAAGTCAACCTTTATAAGATATCTTCCCATACTTGATGGTTTTGGAGGTAACTGGTTGTTTAGCTTAACTATGCCACGTGTCTTAATATGATTGGTTTGTTTTAATTTTATTTATTAAAATTAAAATTTTAAATTTTTTTAAAACAAACATTCCTTCCTTCACTCCCTAGTTCCCCCAGCTGCTAAACAACCCGCACCCTCACGCAAGGGTTGGTGGGAAGAGAAGAGTCAGTCGACGTTTAAGGAAAAGGGAAAGGAAGGGGTTGGGGTGGGGAGGGTTGGCGAGAGGGCAGAGAAAGAAATGGATCAAGGGTTGGGGAGGTGGCTCGTGCGGTGGTCGATGGGGGTAGGGGTGGGGGCTGGTCAGTAGAGGGGCGGGTTTTTTTAAAAAAAATTAATTAAATTAATAGTTTTTAATTTAAAAATTAAATAAAGTGACTTGTTTGGTAGGTTGTAGGTCATTTGACCTATTTATATAAAAAAAAATAATAAAAAATAAAAAATGAAAAAAAAACCCTTTAAAAGGGAACTTATTATTAGTTAAACGAAAAGTTGGCTCATTTTGAACAAATCGCACAAAGATTAGCTTATTCTTGACAAATTTTCCTAAGAAATATGAGAGGAAGAAAATAACTAAAATAAGGTGGGGATCATGAGTGGGGGATATATATATATATTATTAAAAAAAAAAAGTGTAGATGACATCCATTTTAGAATTGTTGTACAAAAATAGGAGGAAGTATATATGTTAATTAGTTAATATATAGTACCTAATCATAGTTAAATGTGTGTCCAGTCATATACGTACTTTATCAATTATTATATTCCATAATATAATTTACACGGTCAAACTTTTCACTACACCTTCCAATGTGTGAGTTTAACCATATTGATACATGGACTTTAACATTAATGTACTTCCTCCGAAACTTTTTATTTGCAACATATACCAAATATGGCCGGGAAACTACATTTAATATGCAACAAATTAAAACCTTTTTAGTAATTTTTTTAATGAAAAAATTACCAAAATAACTTTACTTAAATTTAATTAATACATTAAATATAATTAACCTAACTTAATTCATCCCCAAAACCCTAACCCACATTCTCTTTGCATTTCTCATTCCGAGCCACCACATCAAACACCAGTACCACCTTTTTTTTCTCTCTCTCCTCCCTTTTAGCCACCATTCCCCTACTTTATCCCTTTTCTTCTTCTTATGTCACAACCACCACACCACATTTCTACCACCTATTTTCTCTCTCCGGCCTTCCTCATAATTAAACACCGACACACTTTCTTCATTCAACCTTGGTCGTCAATGTTTGCCGGCAAGTCATCACCACCCTCTCTCCCACAATCACACTTACATCGCCGGAATTCCACTACACCACCGTAAAATTCATTGCCGCCCAAATCCATTGATCAAACGACTTCAAACACTCCAAAGTCGAAGAATCCCCTATGAGATTCACCGCGCTTTTCTGTAATCTCTCGCCACCTCTACTTCCTCCCACGCCGCTTTCTCTTAGAATTTATATATGTTAATTAGTGATATTCTAAGATATATTTATGGTAATTTGATATTTTCTAGGATTAGGAAAGTTTACATATGGTAGAGTTTTGTTTAGGCTATCTTTTGTAGGCTATAAATACTAGCCAAGATAAACAATATTGTACAATTCAAGCTATTATCTCATAAATATTTTATATGGTATCAAAGCCAGTTTAGATCTTGGGAGCATTAACTAAAAATTCCAATATTCTTTACAATAACTATATTTTCTTAAAATGTATAATTATCCTAAATAATATCATAATATATATAAGATCTATATGGAATATATATCACAATAGTATATTTTCCTATATTCTTAACGATAAGTCTTATATAAAGCAAAGCGGACTTACGTTAATTTTATTGTAAGACGATCAATTTTGAGGGTAACTTTAATAATTTTTATGTTTAGTAACTTTAATCCCTTAAAGGGTACTCCCTTCGTATTTTATTACTTACTCCACTTTCCTTTTGCGGCCATATTTTATTACGTGATCCATTCCTTTTTTGGAAACTTTTAACAATATTTTTCCTCCCTACTAGTCCCCTTATATCATATTTTAATATTTCTCATATTCTCTCCTCCCCACTTATACCCACTTTTGCTTTTTAAGATTTTTTATTCTTCAACCAACCCTTCTTCCATGTTTATTTGTTACTTTCTACTATATTCCTCCTAAAACTCCGCGCATGGAGAAATGTAGCAAATAATAATAAAATACGGAGGGAGTAACTTTTAATTTGTAACGAGATTGATTTTATTTTAATGTACGTATAATTTCTAATGGATACATGATATGAAGGTTAATATGATTAATCTAACACGCGAAGTTATAAGTATTTTTTAAGGATAAAATTAATGTTAGGATAATGGTAAATATAGTTGTATATAAGGGTAACTTAAAATAATTTTAGAGTAATTCTAATCCATCTTAGGCCCTGTTTTAGTTCACCTTAAAAAAAATTAGTAAAAATAATTTCAGTTCGCTAAAAATAAGTTTAGTTTAGTGAAATCAAGTTAATTTCGATAAAAATTAATTAATTTTAGTTCAGTAATAAATTTCAGTTCAGTAAAAATAATTTAAGTTAAGCAAAAATAATTTCAGTTAAGTAAAAATAATTTTAGTTTAGCAAAATTAAGGTGAAGTGAACGAGGCCTTACAATTGGTAAAATATTAGTGATCCTTACCAAATTAAAAAGTGTTGCAATTATTATGAAACAAATGTGAAAAAATGAGCATTTTCCCTAAATATTGTCGGGAAAAGACCCCTTATATATCATCTTTTTTTCATGAGTTCCCACATTACCGTCCACGTAAGCATATAACAGAAAACCGATTTTTTTTTTTTTTTTTTTTTTTTGCCAGTTCAGTTGAAAACCGCCAATTGAAGTAGCGGTTTATATAAAAAAAAACCGCCACTTGAAGTAGAGGTTTCTATAACTGGAAACTGCCATGTTAGGAAATAAACTAAACTTACCAAATACCAACGAGATTTGTTAGGGAAAAGATATGATGTATATTTTATTTATTTCTATCTTTTATGTTTTCCTAGTTTGATGAGGATTATAATTAAGAAACTAGATAGATTTTATAAATATAATCAATGTAGGATTATTTAGGCTTGGGGAGCAAGTAAATATCCTAATTGATGTGGGATTCTAGGTTAGCCTATATAAGAGAGTTTAGACTTACTAGAAAATTATGATGGTTGAATTGATAATTTATTGAGGAGGAAAATCATCAAGAGGGTTATTGTCTTATTTTGTAGGAACTTAATAAAACATTATTTTGGTTTGAGGGGAGGAAATCTAAATTTTCTCATAAAAACTTGTCTCTTTTATTATTGTGTTTTTGCTATTTATTTTACATTGTGTTTGAGGCTGAGTTCTCAAATCGTTCCATTGCTCACATCTGTTATAACACGCCACTTGAAGTACCGATTTTCGATCTGTTACAGAAACTGCCACTTGAAGTGGCTGTTTAACTGTAATTCTTTTTTTTTTTATTTTTAAAAGTTTGCATTTTGCAAAGCAGCCTACATTACCTGTAAGAGTCCATTTATACCTGCAGAACCTTCAATTTGAACCTACAAAAGCAACCAAATCACATAACAAATCTCATCAACAAATCCAGCATAATAATAAATTATCAATTCCATTGCTGGTTGGCTCGCCAAATTAAGAATATAAAAATGGTGTAATTGGCTTACCAAATTAATCCCTACCTTTTAAAAAGTATGAGATAACTCTTGTAAGTAGTGTTTAGACAATGATACCCTCTAAAACATTTATTTACTTATTTTCCTTTATTAATGTTAATTGTCATTTCTTTTGAACTCGTAAGAATAGTATGCAAACATTTATACCCCTAAAAATATTTATTTACATGTTTTCCCTCATTAATAATATCAACAACTAAATTTGTGATTTAAGGCCAAATCAAAAGAGCTCCCCCGACATGACAAGTTATAGCGGGCGCATCGCGTACGTTAGCTACCCTAATAATTAAAAAGGTTGAACACAAATTTACAGTACTTGCATGTGATCAAATACATATGCTTCTGTTGGTAAATTGAACAAAAATTCATTTAGGAATTGATATTACTAGAAAATTTAGGGGAATTGATATTTATTTGATATCAGTACATGTCAATTCAAATAAGTAAATTGATAATAACATTAGAATTAACAAGTTAATTGGGAAAAAAAAGAAATTAGGGCATAAGATAAACAAACCCTTACCAAGAAACAAAAAGCAGCATCGATGGAGGTTCAAGTGATGGGGCTGGCGGGGCAGCCTCCACCAAGTTATTCTGGCGACTCAGAGCAGCTATGAGGGAGGTTCGGCGCTCCAGCAGGGTTACGACGCTTGACCACAGTCGAGTAGCGCTCTTTTTTTTTTTTTTTCCTTGTTTGACAGATTGGTTTTTGGGTAATTAAAAAAGTTAACTGCCACTTCAAGTAGCGGTGTAAGTAGCGGTTTACGCAAGAAACCCGCTAATTCAGGGTTCGTTTGACATCGTTGTGGTTTTTTTTTTTTTGGTTTTTTGTTTTACAAAATCATATGATTATGTCATATTTTGAATGAAAAATTAGTTAAACTTATTAAAATCCTAATAATTTTATGAACTGACAATAGAAAAGTGGAAACACCTTTTCCTTGTTTCCTGCTATTGGTTTTTGTTTTTTTTTTTTTTAAAAAAAAAAAACTGAAAACAAAAAATGATGCCAAACAAGTAGCGATTTTCTGTAAAAACCGTAATAATAAAACACTTGCTCGAACCAGTGACGTGGACAGTAATGAGGGAATTAAAGAAAAGGACGCGATATATATGGAATTGAGTCTTTTCCCAACATTATTTTGGAAAAGGGCTCAAAAAAATGTGGCTATTATTATGAAACAGGAGTATAGAGAAATTAGGGGTCGTTTGGTTGGATCAATTGGAATGGGTTGGAATAGAGTTAGAATCCATTCCATCTAATTCTTTGTTTGGTTGAAGTTTATAGTAATAGAATCTCATACCCAAAGGGTTCTAACTCCCCCATACCTATGAAATCTCAAACCCACCCCTTCCCTCTAAGATTTTAATTAAGGATATAATCCATTCCAACAATAAAACCAAACAATTTTAAACTATTACGTGTTTTTAGATTTCATACTAATCCATTCCAACTTGATGAACCAACCACCCGCTTAATGTCGTTTTTTATATTTTTTTTTAAAAATAAACTTTTTTGGAGCTTTCACTTTTAAGCTGCACTCTCTTCTCCATTGAAGCGCGTACTCTGAGCTTTCTCTTCTCCATTGAAGCAGCTTCTTAGGTAAGATTTTATTTATTTATAATCATTATATATCAATTTCACAATCTATGGTTTATCGTTAATTTATAAATCAGTATAGTCAATTTAGGGTTCTTGTTAGTTCCATTATTGAATTATTGGACTGTTGGTTATAATTACTGAAGTTATGCAAGATTATAACCATTGATTTTGTTGCTAGAATTTCTCTTTTAGCATTTTAGGTTGATCTTATGCAGAGAAATTTTTAATTGTGATTTTTGGAGCCTAATTTGATGATTGAGTCAAATTTAATTGCTAATGTGTTGTTGATTGTTTTTGAGAAATGTTGTTTTGCTTCATCATTACAATTTGTCCACATTTTGTTGGAGTCGTTGTATTGTGAGTTGTCCGACATAAGAGATGATGAGAGATTACCAACTTAAAAGCGCGATTAGTCAATCCCTTCCCACAGCTAATCGGTTTTAGGATGGAACATCAGTTAGGCTTATAAGGGGTCTGATTCTGTTTCTTGATGGATGCGGCCTAGGTCCATTTTATGAAGTTGAAAGATTTTCCATTGCACACTTTTTTTTTCTTTTCTTGTTTTTGCATAATCCTCTGACTATATAGTGTCCTGTACGTAGGTTACTTTTCTTTAGTTCATTTTTGTTTCCCTGATTAATAGTTAATATGGCTGTTTAGCATATTGGAATTTTCCGTGGTGATATGATTTTTGCTAATTCTTAGGAAGATGGTTTGTCCATCAAAATTTGATTCAAGCTGCAAAAATTAGGAAAAATAAAAATTAGAAGTCAACCTGTGAAAAGCATGAGCAAAAGCTCTTAAAAGTCAAGATAAAAGGGTCGAAAGTTTACTCGTTTGACCTCAGGCGTTTAAGACAGGGACTAGTATGTCGTTTTTTTTTTTTTGTTTGTTTCTTCAGGTAACTCAAGTAATCGAGTACTTGAGTGAGTACTTTGATGTTCTTTATTTTATAGTTGAAGTGAGATTGTTGCTTACTTTGTAGATAGGCTTGAGATTTCGTTAGCTCCTTTGTCTTCCTATATGTTGTAGATTTTCTAACTTCTACCATTATAGGCTGAATGTGCTTTCAATATTTACTCCATTAAAGAAGTTTTTGGATGTTCTCAGAAGTCTTTGCAGGTTAGCTATTGGGTTGTGTCATTATGTGACAATGTATGTTACAATAGTCAGATTTGTCTTTAGTTGTATGCTATTAGTGTGTTTAGAGAATAGTGACTTATCCGTAATTGAACCTAGTAAAAGAAAGATATTGGGAAGGCATCATTCACCATAGCATGCCAAAACGTTGAGTTTGCTTGCTTTGCTACAAAAAATACTAGGCTTTTATAGTGTTCTACCACAAAAAGAACACTCTTCTTCTGTAGGTCTAATCCCATTTTAGGCGGGTGTACAATTATACACCTCTGTTGGAGGAATGCTTTTAAGACAATATCCAGACTCTGCATCAAGAATTTTTATATATTTCTCTTGAATCGAGTGTGAAAATATCAATCTGTGAGTCATTAGGGCTATGGAGGCCACCTATCCTTAAGTTTGGTAGAAGACTGTTCTGTTTCTTAAGGATCTCAGAATCATGGTTCATCATTAGCCAGGGGCTATTATCAAGCTGACACAATTATTAATGTAGATATAGTGGTTCATATAGTTATCAAACTACAATTGCTTACTTTATTTATAATGGGGGTGGAAAGTTCATTATTATTTGGTTTTGAATTATAGTGGACCAATATAGAATGACTTATCAAACATCTGCACTTATTTTTTGTAAAGTAGCTGATTGTTGTTGCTTTGAGGTCCAAGGTCTAATGCAAGCCTTACCATTGTCAGTGATCTTAAACCCTTTTATCCACTTAAGTTTGAAGTCATTTCAAAGGCATTTAGATATTTTGTTGCTGGTGTTGATTTGTGGTCGTTACCCGTAATTGAGCTTTATTTTTGTATGATTGTTGCTGATAACCTTCTTAGATACTCTTTGGCAAAGAGAAAGTTTATCTGTTTTATATATTACTTCCTCTGTTTGACAAATATTACAACAAATTCTTATTTGCACATGTTTTCTCTCTTTCTCTCTCATCATCACATGGGTCTCTACCTTTATTCCTCTTTATCTCTCTCTTCTTCTTAAAATTTGTGCCCCCTCCCCCGGTTGCAATATTTGTGGAATAGAGAAAGTATTTGTTTATCTACTTTTGACTGGTGTGCTTAACTCAGAAAACATCCAATAGATGCCTTGGTGCTTCTATTACTTGTATACACTGGAATAATTGATCATGGTGTTCATGGCTCTGTTGAAAATGTGATCTAATTTCTAAATTGAAATACATTCAATAAATTTCACATTTGAAAATCAAATGTAGCTGAAAGCATGTAGTTTATTGCCTGGTGTTTTGTTAAAGATTTGTTTTTGTTTTTTGAATGTTACTGTGATTTTTCTGACTTATCAGGTCATAGTGAGTCCGGGTTATGGTGTAAGATGAGAAATGCCAAAGTAATTCAAATTAGATCTCTATGCTTCTCAGCTTTGCATGTGCCGAAATTCCACTCTTCCAGCTCTTATACTGCACCAACAGCTGCCTGCTTTTCAAATTCAACTTCAGTTTTTCTTTCAACCACTATTCAGCAGTTCATTAATTCAGATTCACCTTCACATGGCTTAAAGATTCATAGCCATATTCTAAAAGCTGGTTACAAATTGAATAAGAACATTTCTATCAAACTCCTCATCCTTCATTTGAAATCTGGCTTTGTGAATTATGCAAGGCAGTTGCTTATAGAAATGCCTGATCCATCACTCTCTGCTTATAATTATTTGCTTAATGCTTATGTGAAGCATGGCAAAGCTCTGGAAACTTTTGATTTAGTCCGTCAGATGTGCAATTCTGATGAAAAGCCTGACAGCTTTACACATTCATTGATACTAAAAGCTTGGGCTTCTATACCCGTTCCCGTATTTTTTATCTGCGACATAGGAAGACAAGTGCATGCTCGGATTCTAAAATATGATGGTATAGCGGATGATGTTCTTCTTGCTACCTTAATAGATATGTATGTCAAATCTGAAAGGCTTGGTTATGCAAGGTGTGTGTTTGATTCAATGTTAGTGAAGAATGCCATATGTTCTACTTCATTGATATCTGGCTACTTAAAAAGTGGTAACATGGAGGATGCAGAGTTACTGTTTCAAAAGATAGTTGACAAAGATGTTGTGGTCTTTAATGCTATGATTGAAGGTTATAGTAAATCAACTGATACAGCAAAGAAATCGGTTGAAATTTTCATTGATATGCTGAGACAAGGTTATTTACCTACACTTTCCACTTTCGCGAGTCTTATTGGAGCATGCTCTCAGTTGACGTCAGTTGAAATTGGTCAACAAGTACAGAGTTACCTGGTGAAAACTAAGTATTTTATTAACGTGAAGATTGGGAGTGCTCTAATAGATATGTTTTCAAAATGTGGGAGAACTGATGATGCTCGTCAAGTATTTGATTCCATGCCTGAAAAGAATATATTTTCGTGGACATCCATGATTGATGGGTATGGAAAAAATGGGAAACCCTATGAAGTGATTGAAATGTTCAGTAATTTGCGAGCGAAGAATCAAATAAAACCAAATTATGTTACATTTTTGTGTGCTATCTCGGCATGCACATATGCTGGGTTTGTAGACAAAGGTTGGGAGATCTTTGAAAGCATGGAGAGGGACTATTCATTAAAGCCTCAGATGGAACACTATGCTTGCATGGTGGACCTTTTAGGGCGCTCTGGGAATATAGAGCAGGCATGGGAATTTGTGATGAGAATGCCCGAAAAACCTAATTCTGACGTTTGGGCTGCTTTGCTCAGCTCATGTAAAATGCATAACAAACTAGAGATGGCAAGTATAGCAGCAGATGAGCTTTTTAATTTGGGTGCTAATGATAGGCCAGGTTCATACATTGCCTTATCTGACTCACTGGCTGCTGCTGGAAAGTGGGACTCTGCAAATAATGTTAGGGAACTGATGAAGCAGAGAGGAATATTAAAAGATACAGGCTTGAGTTGGACAGGAGGAGATGATGGTCTGAAATGGTTTCATGTTGGTCTAAGGTGAAGGTGAACAGCTGAAATGGATATTGACATCATATGAAGAGCCTCATGTTTTTTAAGCTGGCAACAAATCAGCTTACTTGCATTTGCATGATTATTCAGATAATCAATCGCCTTTGGGGTTTTTCTGCATCAGAATTACTTTTGCCAAGCACAGAGCATTCAACATTTCTAGTTATACAGACCCTTTTTTTAAATGACTTTCGGCTCTGGCAAACACATACTGGGACATTACTCTGCAAGATCCAAAAATGTGTAAGGTCTGTTCATTTGCTACAACAAAGCTTCCAGTTGAAGGGCTTGCTCACTCCAGAAAATGCATCACCTATTGATGTATGCTGTTGGAAAGAAGAATGGGTAAGTTCTGGTCTTTACATAATATATTTTCTTCCAAATTATAATCTTAATGAATCAATTGTGTAGATTGGTTTTCTCCATCACAAATGAGTGCAAAAGGTAGAAAACTAGATAAACCACTAAAATAAGTACTTTAATTAATAGTTGTACTATTGTCCAATTGGATGATTGTTAAATAATTCCCTAAACTTGAATGGGTTCTTTCATTAGTTCATTTATGCTGACATGTTACTATCTTAATCAACGAACCTGAAAAGACTTGTTTATGCTTTATATGTTATTTTATATTTGATTTATGTTAATTCTAGTAGATTTTTCTTGTGTGTTATCTTAGCGTGCAGATATGCTGTATTTGTAGACAAAGGTTGGGAGATCTTTGAAATCATGGAGAGGGACTATTCATTGAAGCTTCAGGTGGAGCACTATGTTTGTATGGCTGATCTTTTGTGGCACTTTGGAAACATAGAGCAAATGTGGAATTTTGTTATGAGAATACCAAAAAAAACTATTTCAACTTTTCTAGTGTCTGGGCTGGTTTGCTCAGTTCATGCAAACTGCTTTGCTAAAATGGGAAGTATAGCGGATTAGCTGGATGAATTTTTTAAACTGTGTATTGATTGAAGGATTGGCTCACACATTGCCCTATTAGACTCATTGGCTGCTGCTGGAAAATGGACTCTGTAACTGAAATTTGGGTTCATACTAACTGATGAAGCATTGGATCGAGTGAAAGAGTGGAAGAGTGGGACCATGGAGGGGTTAAACGAGGGAGAGGGAGACCGAAAATAACTTGGTTGGAAGGAGTTAGGAAGGATATGAAGTGTATGGATTTGATTTTTTTTTTTTTTTATTATTGTATTTTACCCCTACTACAACAATAAAAAAAAAATGACTTGGTTGAAAGGAGTTAGGAAGGCTATGAAGTGTACGAAATTGTGTGAGTTAGAAAGGAGCTAGATGATTTGTTGTAGCAAAATTTTTTTTTATTTTTTTTGTATTTTACCACCTACTACATCCTAGAAAGTGAAATTTTCCCACCAAATTGCCCAAGCCCTAATATATGACGTCATTGACCTTCTTCTCCCTCGATTCTCAAGTTCAAATGTTTTTTTTTCAACATATATTAAAATTAGGTTGGGAAAAATCAAATAGTAGTTGATTTAACATCATTCAAGCTCACACAAAGATAATCAAGTCACTAAACATTATCAATTATAATTTGTTGTTCTTTCTTTAGGTCCCAAATTTGGGAAATTTTTCAAATTGAGATAATTTTCTAAAATAAGCATTATTTACTCTATATGAACCAAAATATATGCTCAATTTAGGATTATAACTCTTAATTTAGAAAACCAATTAAATTTTAAAATCCCAAAATACATATGAACCCTAATTCTTCGTAATAATAATTAGTACTAATTTATGAACAATAATATCAATTTTGATACTAATTGAAGACATAATACATGAAATCGATGCAAACTAGTCCTAATTTCGTAAATTAATCACTAAATAACAAAGCCCCAATTTTGATTTAAAATCCTAAATGATGAACACCATCTAATAATTACCCTCAATTTCGTAAATTAGGTACCTAACTTTGTGGTTTGTTTGTATAATTTATTTTACAATTAAAAAATTGAAGAACATAGGGTAGGTTCAAGAAAAAAATCAAAAAAATCTATCGGTGGGCCCCCCAATGACGTCATATAGGAGACTTGGGGCTATCTAGTGGGAAAATTTCAAGTTTTTGGAAATAGTAGGTGGTAAAATACAATAAAAATAATTTGTTGGTGGTTATTACTAAAACGGCAACAATAGTATGTGGATATTTCCAAAAAATCCTTAAGAAAATAAAGTGTTTTATAAAGAGGTTTCTAGCTATTTTTTTTATTAGCACCCTGAATTACATCACACGTGTGCCCCGCATGTAGAGGAGACATTTTAAAGGGAGTATAACATTGCATTTGCTGGTGTATAAGAAGGGGCATTTATGTAATTTTTTATATGGATGAATAAATTTATTTCCGAAATTTAGAGTAGTATCATTGGATTATCAAATAATACCACGTGGTACTTTATTTTCATATAGTGGTACCACTGAAAATCCAGTGGTATTATGTAAGCTTTCATTGGAACAATTAGCATGAGGGTCTTATCACGTGATGGCAATTTGACCCAAAAAAAAGGTGGGGTCCACCTATATACCTCTCTCTTCTTTTCTCTCTTTACCATGTGTTTGTAGAATATTTTAATTATGTATTTGCGTATTTGCAAATACATAACAATCCTAAAATAAAAATTGTAAATTCAGTGGAGACCATTTAAAAAGGAAAAGGTGAGTAAATTAACAATAATTAGCTTTACAATATACAATATAATATAATTAACAATTGCGTATTTGCAATGCACGGGTTGTTTATAGATATACAATATATTTTTTTTTTAAATATGGTTTTATTGGAAAATAAATAGTTTTTAAAGGAGAAGAAGGGGTGAAAATTAAACGTAATTGTAGAAGATATTAAGTTGGGGAAAAGTGAACCAAACAACATTCATAGTTTCATACATGTATTGAATAAAAGCTAGTTTTTTTTTTTTTTTTTTTTTTTTTTTAGTTTTATTTTTTATTTATTTATTTTTTAATATGAGAAAGGGGATTTAAAAAAGAAAAGATTCAATAAAGTAACATGTGACATTGGTGAAAAATAAAGTTTATATATGACATAATGGACATGATGGTTTATGTTTTTAAATACTAAGTATAGATTTAAAAATTGACATTCATACAAGCTAATGGAAACCAAATCTTGCAAACATCAAGCTTAGTAACAGTACATACAATAAAGCATTTAAAAAAAAAAAAAAACCACAAAGTTGATAGATTTAATTATTTTTGGCATATAGAGAGCCACAACGGCAGGTGATGAGAATCAATTATAGGATCCCCTGAAACCGGGAGAAAAGCTCTATCCAATTGAGCTGTACCTCACTCTCGACAATTGTTGATAGATGGTAGTTCACCTTATTCATCATACACAAGAAAGTTTATTTATTAAATAATTATGTTAGCATACATAATTAATATTTAAATATAGTTGCAATAATATAATTTGCAGTTTGACCAGGTCCCTTAAAATTCCAAGAAGGAAGCAATTTAATCCATATGTGAGAGCTCATAAGCAAGGGCCAGCCGTCGGAATAAAATTTAATGTCATCCAGGTTAGGCGGCTCTTTACCACCGGACCCAAATATGACATCAAGCAATGCACAGTTGCTGCAGCGAAGAAAAAACCAACCACAGCGTCGACAACAAAGCCAGCCATTGACACTACCAAAATGCCAGACTTCATGGTTGCTGTCGTTACGGTTGCTTGAACAGCCACTTGTGGCGCAAAGGAGCTAGCCTCCTTTAGGGTATTCTTCAGCAATGACTCAAGCTTGAACTCATTTGTGTAAATGTCCCAAGCCGTCATGGCAGCAACCTTCGACAGTGACTTGATCACGCTAAATGATATGCTTCTCCCTCTCTTCCTACGCATTGATTCCCAGTTGAATGCTGGGATCTTTGCGCGTCCTGACTCCTTGATAATGCTATTGTACACCTGTTTGGTACATCATGTTGCCCTTGTTTGATTTGTATTCTTTTATAGGGTTTACAAAAAGCACTAATTATGTGATAAGACTAACCTCAAGCTTTTGTTCTTCTTCCAAAACCTCAAATTCATCTTTATTTCCAAGTCTGTTCTTGTGTCTGCATGCCATGAAGATTGAAGAATAATATCAAGGTTAAATGTTACAAAATGGTATTCTCTCTATTTTTAAATACTTGTTCCATTTCTTTTAGGCACGTATGCCAATGCTATCAATAGTATCTTTAATTATCAATAAGTATAAATTCTAACAATTAAAAATTAATAATCTATTAATTGAAACGATTCCAGCAAGTACCCACAAGACTATTTTTTTCTTATGTATAAATCACAAACATTAGTCAAAGTAAGACAAATGAATAGTGCAAAAAGTTGAATGGAGCAAGTATTTAAAAACGGAGAAAGTAACAATGTTAGCATATACACCGTACTAATTATTCATAGAGACGCTTGAAATTATAGGGATGGCGCTCTGCACGCACCTGTTGATAAGGTCAGGGAACTACTGAACGCCCTCGTGCATAAGATACAATGTATACTCCCTCGATCGTGAGCGGGCAGTGGCACTTTGAAAACTATTAGCATATTCCCACATAGCCTTCTTGTAAAATGGCACTTCTTCAGATAAATGTTCAATATTGTTCACATCATCAAGTTGAGCAACGAGGTCGTCAAGGTGCTCCTTAAGGCTCTCAACTTACGAACTTTGCAAACAGCTATTCCTAACACACTGCAGGCTCATGTTGTCATGTTGACACCATAGTTCATATACTCCTGGACATCATCTAAGGTGATTTCCGCCGCCTTGGCTACTCCCTCATGCTTTTTCCGCAGTTCATTGCTGATATCTAGTATTTTAACCACATTGTTATAAGCACCATTCACTTCTTGTAGGAACTTGACCTGATCAACTGCAGATTGGATGTCTCGCATTAGTGGCACTTCTTGGTTCCTCACCCGTAGTGCAAGCGTCCGTAATTTCCCCTCCACCATTATCAATAGGTCGCCTATTTCTTATGGCACAGTCTAACTAATCTTATAAGAAGAAACAAAGTACCAAGATTGAAATTCATTATTACGAATTATAATTACGGATTTATCATATCCATAAACTATCATTGACTCGTGGCACAGAATTTGAGGAATAAATTAGAAAAGGTAAATGGACAAAGTTTTCAAAATAAATACCTATAAGAGGGAAGATAAGAATATTACGAGTAAGTGTTTAAATGATCTAAGGCTTTCAAACTGAAAAAGAAGTAGAGGTGTATAAATGCTTTAAAAAAATTTATCCTTACGCCTTTACCTTCTCTAATTATTCCTCAAAGTGGGCGCATCAAGGCAATTTTGTGAGTAATAAATACCGGCGGAATATACTATACTCCATATATGTTTACAGCTTCTACAAAGCAGTGATAGATAAAGAGGGAAGGCTGGGATGTGCATTGGGATAATTACGAATGACAAGTACTACGAGTCCGTTTCCTTTCTTAAGGGCTAAATCTAAGGGCTCTTAAAGAAATCGTTGGAACTAAAAATGGCTTTGGGCTGGCTGGGTTGAACTGTGAGTATGGCCCATAATAGGGTTGTCTAGGCCTGGCCCACAACCAGTGGACTGGTTTAGCTCGGGCTCAAATTTTGAAAAGTAAGGCCCAAGCTCGGAAAGTGTCCATGTGCGGATGTGCCTTGTGGGATGGGTTGGGCTGATCCATACTAATTTATTAGACAAAATAAACTTCCATGTTAACTGTCACCAACAATTTATAGGTATTAAAACAACAACAACAACAAAAAAAAAAAAAAAAAAAAAAAAAAAAGCCCAGAAGCACCGCAAATTCTTAGCTACACACTTGTGTAGCTAAGCTAGCTGCAACAGTCATATATATGAACATATAATACTTCAAAAACCATTGGATGAAAACCATAAGTACTTTCATTATTATTAGTTCCATTAGTCTTGTGTTATCAAGCAATGAAAGAACCGTTCATTCAAATTTCTGGAAATTTTATGTTT